ACAACCTTCATTTATAATTTTCTTTGTATTCAATGGACAGAGTTTGAAGTTTCACTTGTAGGTATTTTTCTGAATGCCAAGATCTCATCACAAATAAATAAAAACTTCTATCAAATAGTGATTATGTTTGCTATCACTCTAACACAAAACCCTTTTTCTTTCTCTTCTGCAGTCCTGTACTCATCAGTTGTACTTACAACACAACATACAGGCCATAGGTTTTTTTTGGCAAACATCTTCATTGTGAGGAAAACTGTCCTGTTCACATATTCTACATCAAAACCTGTATTTTTGTATAAGCAATTTATTAATTTATTATAGACAAGTTTTTAACCAGTATTCTGTGAGCTATATATTCAAGATTCAGCAGAACAGGCAAATCACAGTATTAGATGCATGCAAAATGTTAATAAACGTATACCAAAGTCTGAAACAACATCCTGTAGTGATCCCCTCCCAAAATTATCATACATACACATGGTTACATGCATCGCTTTTCTCCCCAGGCCTGTGAGTAGCTACACACACCCTTCTTCACTCAGTGCTGGCCCCTCTCGTATCATAGCCCGTGTGAGTGCTCCTGTGCGTACCTGCGAGCACCTACAACCAGCTGAATCATAGACCAGTGCAAAAGCACACCATGACATGTTGTTGTAGCCTGTATGGGCATATGTAGTTGGACACTGATAATTCACAGCAGCTGGCAGGGAGGATGCACATTCTTATTTTGACAGAGCTCTTAATACAGCAGCAGAACAGCTTCCAGGTGCAGACTTCAGCAGGTCCAGTCTTCTTTCCAAGTGAAAACTCCTCTGTTTCAAAAGTCAATAAATGTAAATACAATTCTGCTAAGCTAAAGAAGCCATTGTGATCAATGCCCCAGTGTAACATTATGGTGAAAAATAGATCATGAATATTTTGTCTCCTGAGCATGAATCTGTTTGCTCCCCTTTTATTCCCCTTTTCCTGCAAAACTGCACGGTAAGGGCATGCTTACTTCTACACATCACAAAATATGGAATATTTCTCACCTAGCTTTAGATATCTGTCTGAACTACTCACTAGAGTCCCATAACACGTTTTAGTTTTCCACTTTATGATTGAAATAAACCACACATTATAAACACTCAATGTTTCTCTGCTTCTCTCCATTGGGAAGAAGGGAAATTTTGACTACTAGCTCAGAAACAAATCTGAGTTTTATAACTTAGTTTGTACAAGCAGAATCTAGTCATGAATATTTACAATGCCTTCTAGACTGGCATGGAACACCCATTCTCTTCCCCTCCACCCTCTTCCTTTTTATTTGTTTGTTGTCTTTTTTTTTTTTTTTTTTTTTTTGAGAGAGAGAGAGAGAGAGAGAGAGAGAGAGAGAGGTTATTTGGGTGCTTTTGATTGGCTTCTGTCTTTATCCAGACTAAAACAGTTACACTTCTTAACAGCTCTCCAGTATACGTTTGATGCATTGGCAAAACACGGGGCTCCAAATAGTGAAGAATATGCAGCCATGCTTTCCTGCTCACTCCTGTCTAGATCTCTTTGGATGGTATCTCATCCTTTAGGCCTGTCAACCCTCAGCTTGGGATTTCAAGATTGCCTAAAAAAAATCATTTATTTGCCTCTGCAAGACGATTTTCAGTTACATATATGCATGACCTGCAGATTTTCAAATGGGATGTATAGCATTCCAATCCAATTCAACTAAAAATCTGATTGACTCCTTACTGGACTTCCATAATTCATATCTTAGTAGAGAAAAATATCCTTCACTTCCTAATAGTGCCACTGCTTTTTGGTTCACATTTTGAACAATTACTGTCAAGGATGAAGTACTCGAAAAGTAAAATTTCATCAAAAATCTCCGATAACATCTTGAGAGCTCACTAAGAATTGTGGCCACTGCCATCGAATCAGACTGGTGTGTTAATTTCACAAAAAGTGGTCAAATATCCCATCTGCTTTATGTTTTTCTTCCTCTCTCTTTCTTTGTTTTTAACATTTTAAGAAAAATATTAAAAATTAAAATGTTTTGTTACTTATATATTGATGATATTACATATTTTGCAAGGGCTGCTCTGAAAGCAATGCCTTCTGTTTTATTATATTGGTCCAGAAGATCAGAGGCGAATATTGTGGCTTGTCTGCAGAGGTTGAACCTTGCCACAAATGTTCTATTACATGTTGTTGCTGTGTGACAGGTGGCAGCAGAGGGGCAGTCTGACAAAGTGGTGTCTGACATGGAAATGCATATGAAACAAAGGTGCTTCACTCAATTCCTCCATGCAGAAAAAATTGCACCCATTGACTTTCACGAGTGCTTGCTGAATCACTATGGAGAACAAATAGTGAATGTGAGCACAGTAAGGCAGCAGGTGGTTGTATGAATCCTTTGCTTGCTTTCTGAGGCATTTCTTATGATAAGACTCTCACTTATGTAGAAAATGAGAGGTGAGTGTTGCCAAGTGGGAGTCAACATCACTGTGTGGACAATTTCACATTTGAAAGCATTTCTTCTGAGCTATTTGCCTTTGGAAGAGAGTGCTCAGGACTATTTACTGGCAGAAGATCTGGCTTGGGACCAAATAATTCCAGCTTGCTATGGGAGACTGGGGGATTTTATTCTGTGAAAGCAAGATACAAGTTGGCACCTCCATGCTCCCTCCTATCTGCTGGCAAGGTCAGGAAGAAGGGAACAAAAGGAGTTTCTGCTGAGATCCAAAAGCCAGAAGCTGCCCTCCAAAGAGAGCTGACTCAACCACTTTGGACTTAGAAATAAGTTCATACTACCACTGGAAAGTCGGTCACAGTTGTCATCATCAATGGAACAACAACACCTGACAACCCACCACTACTGAAGATCAATGACTGAACTATGAGCCACACTGGACCCATGGTGGTGACTGTCTCCATCTTGCTTCCCACAAAGACTCCTTGCTTTTATTTCCTATCTTTCCTATCACTCTTCTCTCCTTCCCCATCTCCCTGATTGATTAAAATCTGTAATAAACTGGTAGGACCACATTTGAACCGTTGTTTCTTAATCTCACATTGGGTATACATATATCAAAGAATCTACTCTCCCTCTGATAAACTGGAGCAAGACAGTGGTGCATTTCAGCAGTAGTGACATTAGGTCACTCTCACTGGTGCAGATTCTTATGAGCACAGCATCCAGACTCTTTTTCATCGCTGACACATAGCTAATGGCGGTGACTATGTTGAAAAACAGTGTTTTGTAGTTCAGAATTTGTTCTCTCAAATGGTGTTACTGTGCTCTTTGTTGTCATTTCCATGGAAATAAAGAGGAGACATAACTTTTGGAGCAACCTACGTATATGCGGCCCAAGACAGTTTCTATTCACTAAATGCAGCCTAGGCAACCAAAAGGACACTCGTGCTTTAGTGAGCATGAGCCTGATGGTAGAGAAATTTAATATTGATAAAGGTGTTCTAAGTTACAGTCTTTATATTAATAGATATGTAATTGAATATAAGCAGTTCACTTCAGCTGAATGCCAATTTCCATATGTCACTTCTGTCTTTCTGTATTATACCAGATCTGAGACTGTAACTACTTTTATGTTCACACATTTAAAAAAACCTGTTACTCAAGTCTTCCATATTCTACCACAATACCATCAAAGCAAACAGTTGTTTGTTTCCCTTTGCTTTCTTCTTCTAGGTCAAATTTCTTACAAGTGCACTGCTCTTTGCCTACAAATAGAAGAGCCATCTGTACTCATTCAACATGCTGGGAAGTGTATATTCTGTAATCTTTAAGAAGGAAAAAAGGAAAACATGAGTGATTGTAGCTCTTGGTAATACTGAGTAAATAAACTTTCTCATAGGGAAGAAACACATAGATAAAAACAAAAAAAAATGAAAGAAAATATTCTTGGTTTTGGCAAAACTAGATTTACCATCTACCTAAAGTAAGTGGAAAATATCAAAACTGAACAAAACTAAAACTAGACAAAGAAAATATATATTTATGAGAAAGAAAACCAGACAACTGCGGGATTGAAGGTAATATGACCTTTCACATCTTGTATATATAGAACTGTAGTTCACACATGATTAAAAGAACCTTAAGTGAAATCTGAGAAATTAAGAATGTTCTTACTGGAAAAGTGTTCCAATATAATTACTGTTTACTTTCACGGGTCAGATATTCTCTATATCATTTTTTCTATATATTCTTTATTTTCTCATTTTCTTTCACAGTTCTGTCTGCTGTAAATGTCTCATTTGTCAATTTACTCATTTGCATTTTAATTGCTTCACAAACTTCTATTTAACCACAGTTACATTTTGCTTTTTACATCTGTTGTACAAACAGAATATATCATTTAAATTTTAAAAGAACTCTTCTCTTATATTCCTTTTCATGTATTTTTACTGAGAGCTGAAGTCTGACAAGCCCTACTAGACTCATCTCTCACCTAATTACCAACAGGAGGTGCTCCAGCTGTCTGATCATCTTCATGGCCCTCCTCTGGACACGATTCAGCACCTCCATGTCCATCTTGTTTTGGGGGCTACAGAACTGGACTCAGTAACCCAGGTGAAATCTCACAAGATGGGTAGAGGGGCAGAATCACCTCCCTCGACCTTGTCATGCTTCTCTTGATGCAACCCAGGATATAGTTGGCCTTCTGGGCTGCAAGCACATGCTGCTGGCTCTTTGTGAGCCTTCCATCAGCTGCCATCCCCAAATCTTTCTCAGCAGGGCTGCTCTCATGCCATTCTCCACTCAACTTATATTTGTGCTTGATATTTCCCCTACTCAGTCGCAGGACCTTGCACTTGGTCCTTGTTAAACTTTACGAGGTTGGCCCACCTCTAAAGCCTGTCCAGATCCCTCTGGATGGCAGCCCTTCCCTCTACCATGTCAACTGTACCACTCAGCGTGGAGTCATCTGCAAACTTGCTGAGATTGCACTCAATCCTAGTGTCCATACTGCTGACAAAGATGTTAAGTAGCACTGGTCCCAGTACCGATGCCTGAGGAATGCGACATGTCAACGATCTCCATTTGTACGCTGAGCAGCGGACCCCAGGTCTCTGAGCGTGATCATCCAGCCAAATCCTTAGCCATCATATTCATTTTTCTCCAATTTGGTAACCAGGATGTCAGGCAGGACAGTATGAAACACTCTGCACAAGTCCAGGTAGATAAATCAGCTGCTGTTCCTTTATCCATTGACACTGTAACTCCATCATAAAAGGCCACCAAGTTTGTCAGATATGACTTGGCCTTGATGAAGCCATGTTGACTACCACCAATCACCCATCTTTATTTTCCATGTGCCTCAGTAAGGCCTTCAGGAGGATCTGCTGATCTGCTCCATGATCTTACGGGACACAGAGGCAAGACTGACTGGCTTGTAGTTTCTTGGATCTTCTTTTTTTTCCCTTCTTGAAAATGGGGGTTATGTTTCCCCTTTTCTAGTCACTGGGAACTTCACCAGATTGCCATGACCTTTCAGATATGATGAATAGCAGGTAGGCATCTCCATTTGCTAGGTACCTCAAAATCCTTGATTGGATCTCTTTGGGTCCCATGGACTTGTGCACCTGGATTGTCACGAGCCTGATCTTTGCTTACAGTGGGCAGATTTTCCTTCTCCCCATTCTTATCTGTGCTTTCTGCAACTTGGGCAGTGTGGCTAGAGCACAGGCCAGTGAAGACTAAAGCAAAGAAGTCAATCACCACCCCAGCTTTATCCATATCCCTCATGACCAGAACTCCAGTTTCCTTCCAGAGAGGGCCCAACCTCCTCTGGACTTCCTTTAATCAGTGATACACCTGCACAATTTCTCTTTGTTCCCCTCTAAGTGCCTGGCTGTGTTTAATCTGGATGTGTTTCAGCTTTCCTAACCTGATCCCTGGCTGCTTGGACAACTTCTTTGTAGTCCTCTCAGGTAACCTGTTCCCGCTTCCACCCCCCATAGACTTTCTTTTTGCTCTTACATAAATCCAGAAGCTGATCCACAGAGGCATCCTGGCATTCTTGTCTGCCTTCCTCTCTCTTGCAATGAACAGCATCTGGGCTGGGATGCACCGTCCCTGGAAGTGTTCAAGGTCAGATTGGATGGGGCCCTGGGCAGCCTGGCCCAGTATTGATTGTGGAGATTGGTTGCCCTGCATGTGGCAGGGAGGTTGGAGATCCTTGAGGTCCCTTCCACAGCTATTCTGTGATTCTGTGATTCTGTGGACTTGGAGGAGATGGTCCTTAAGTACTGACCAGCTTCCTTGGGCCCCTCTTCCCTCCAGTGCTTTATCCCATGTCACCCTGACAAGCAGTTCCCTGAAGAGGTCAAAATCATACTCTCCAGAAACCCAGAGTAGCATTTTTGTTACGCACTCTCTTTGATGCTCTAAGGATCTTGAACTCCATCATTTCATGGTCATGCTGCCCTTGAGTTTCATGTTACTCATCAGCCCCTCCTCACTGGTGAGCACTTTTTTCATGGGTTCCTGTACCACTTCGAAGAGGAAGTTATCAACACATTCCAGGAACCTCTTTGATTGCTGGTGCTCTGATGCACAAAAATGATGCCAGAAATTTTGAAAGAAAAAGCTACAATAATGTACAATATTTGGGATCTGAAAATAAATGCCAGTGATTCTCTTTAAAACTTAAAAAGGTATCATTGATGTTTACTATTACAACATCTAATGAAATTACTTTCTTAGTTTCAATTAATAGCATTCCATCCATCTTTTCAGCATTTTTATGATACAAATACCAGGATACACAAGCTCAAGTTTCAGCATACTCAATCCCTGAACTTATCCAGAAAACTATCCTACGGCTGAATGTTGTGATATTTCTTGAAGAAAATCTTCTCGAACTGATAGCATAGTTCCCGTAGCCCTTTAAAATGGCAAAGCTCTTCTCAGACTAAATGAAGCCTGGGGAGTGGAGAGAATACGAACAGGTAATGATTCAGCATCTAAATCTGATCTTTCTGCACTGGCTGAATTTTACAGCCTGCTGTGTATTAGAAGTGTTTGTTACTTTAAGTCCAGCTCTCTATCAGAGCAGCATGATGTGTTGCCACCTGGCGTAGAGATGATGTAAAAATCCTTGCTGACTTCTGATGAACAAAGGCTGCGTCACTGCAGAGGCTCATCTCTGCGTGGTACATCCCGGCAATGTCGTCAGCTTCCCTGTTTGCTGACTCATGGCTTCAGGATACAGCTCCAAGGGAAGAAATTGCCCTTTTGCCTACGAAGATGTGCAGCAGGCAAGCACAGTGACTACAGAACTTGCCAGAGAAAGGGGAGATGGTGCGATAGGTACAGGCTGTCACACAGCTATGGGGTCTGGAGGCATTCCGGCTGGAAAGCTAACGTATGTATACAGCTGTCAGCAACTAAAGTATTGATCCTGCCATAAGGTGTTGCAGAAGAGAGATGCTGAAACATGATGACTGTTACACAATGGACTGCTCTTAGAGGAACGACAAAAGCCCGCTTCATGTTGACCATTTTAAGCTTTTCTTCAAGTACTTTGGCAAACAAATCTGTGCTTCATAATGAGAACATCATTCAAAGAACCTACCTAGCAGTCCTTCATGCAAAAGAAGTGGTAAAGGAAGTACAGTGCTTAGATTTTTTTTAAAGTCTGCAATTAGCACAACAATCTTTACACATAAACATCTTGTTTTCCTTAGGAACAGATCATTAATATAATTAAGCTTTGAAAGCCTTTTACTTATTTTCATAGAAAACACTTTAATTGCTGCCAACTGTTTTCTGCAGACTTCTGTATGAAATACATTTTAACGTTCCTTTAAACCCTTCTATGCTTCTGTGAGGAACACTTACAAAGAAAAAAACAATCTTCTTTCTTCAAATGTGATTTTCAGTAGCAGACTTATGGACAGCCTTAATGGTAGTCTTGAAAGATGCTGACATGTTGCATTTTATTATGGTCTTTCAATACTCTATAGCACAGTTGTGTTTCACTGCTGAAGCAGCATATGTCACTGTAAATAAGTTGTACATGTGCACCCTGCCACTGGAACATCTTTAGATTCCTAAATTCTAGATTAATCTATAATCTAGATTCCTTCTGATCTTTTGATTTCCAATCAGAAAAAAATTTACTGATCACTTGCTCTCTACAGCTTACAAGAAGAAAAGTACTGCAACCACAGAAATATTTAAAGTTCTTTCTGACAAAATTATTAAAAGATCATTTTTGCACCCATTGTGGAGTCATTTCCACGGCTCACTGTGCTGTTCTGGTTTATCCAGAATTTTCACTGCATTCTAAAACATTATCAGACTTATGTTTTTTGTCAGTTCAGAAGCTTGCAATGAAACAATTCACTTAATCACTAAAAATACAAACAGAATGCACTGATCTTAAATATTTTATTATGCCTCTGGAGTATTTCAGTAACTGTTGCACCCCAGAACAAGAGCTGACTGCTGAAGTCAAATACAGACACAGAATTTTGAATATAAGTAAGGAAAATCAAGTTTTGTCCATTCCAATTTTTTAATATTCAGAACAGTAAAAAAAAAAAAAAAAGATTGAAGCACCCTCCTTTTAATCAACTGGTGTTCTATTACTCCACCAAAGACAAAACACAGCAGAAGTTGCTAATATTTCTCTAGCCTGCGGTGGGGGGACGAGGGAGTCTGCTAAAAGAAAGATCAGTCTTGCAGAAAGCATTTCCTTACACTCAGACAAAGCCTATAGGTTTGGTTTCCTGTGTAGCACCATTTAGAGAAATTAGAGGCTTGAAAACAGAGGGATATATTGATATATATACTCTGCATTTTAATAGTGGCTCTGCTTCCATGTGACTGAAAAGTGGTATCTAACATGCCAGTTAATCATTACAGCAGAAAATCTTTCTTGCAATTCATGCAAAATCCATTCATAACTGTAGTCATGATAGGTTCTGTTACTGATGTGGATGACTGACTGGCTGATGTGGAAAAGCTTACTCCAGTGAAAAATAATTCAGATTCCCCAGGAGAAACTCTTAAGTATAAATGAACACATTCACCAGGCCTACAATATCTACAGGCCCTTCAACAAATGCTATCCTGTAAGTGCCTGTAAAGCTATAAGCTGATACTTCTGTGGGGAAAAAAAAACAAAACAAAACAAAACAAACAAAAAGACCAAAAACAAAAACAAAGGCAAATACATTTTCATACAGTATTAAATTCCAGACTATTTTCAACCTCTCAACTTACAAGCCTTCTCTGAGAAGCATACATACTTTATATATGCACTGACCATTATATCACAAATGAAATATCCAGAGCAGAATTTCTACAAGAGGTTGGTGGATGGAGGGAGAGTTGGTAGAATCTTTTTAACTCCGAGGTATTCAGTAATTACGAGGATATGATTGTTAAAACTAGCAAGAAATAGAATGGATGGTTGATGTCTAATTAATAAGCTAACAGACCACACTTTGAGGGTGGTGATCAACATTTTTTAACTTAGATTGAAAACCTGTCACTAGTGGGGTTGCCCAGGGACTCATTTTAAACCCCACATGGTTTAATACCATCATGAATTATGCAGATGATGGGACTGCAAGCAGTCAACAAGACTGCAAATGACACTAAGCCAGGTGGTGGATGGTGAAGTGGACACATCAGAAGAAAGATGAGTCATCTTCCTGAGAGACCTAGACAGGCTGTAAGAGGGAGCAAGTAAGATAAGTGTGAAATTTAACAAAGATGAATGCACTGTTCTGCATCTGGGAAGGGGTAACCAAAGAGCCCTGCACAGTCCAGGATCTGTGTTGCTGGGGAGCAGCTTTGCTGAAAAGTACCTAGCAGTCCTGGCAAACATGATGAACAGGAGTCAGCAGTGCATCACTGTAGCCCCAAAGGCAAATCGAATGCTGGGCTGCAACTGCAGGGTCATTACTAGCAAAGAAAGAAATGTAATTATCCCACTCTTCTCAGCAATTATAAGGACACACATTAAGTACCTGGTCTCCACAGATCAAAAAAGACATGCTAGAGTTCAAAGTATGACCATAAAGATGATCCAAGAACCTGCCCTATGAGGAAAAGCTAAAGGAGTTAGGTATTTTCATGCTAGAGAAGGTTCTAAGCTCATTGCAGTATTCCAGTACTTAAAGAGTGGTACAACCTCAACAAGGGCATGGCAGATTTCACATC